ACTCTTTTGCCCAAATGCTGGCCAACTGCTCAGTTTAAGGTATGTCCTATTTATTGAACTTCCAATACACAGAGGGATGCAGAGGGAAAGTCGTGACTCAACCTCTGATTTGAATCTGGGAGGTGCAGGGCGAAGCATTTCTTTACCTCAACAAGATAGCTGGGTCTCAACATAAGAGAGCCTCCCTAAGTCATTTTTCACCTGCTGCATTGTTAGAGAGGCAGAAAAAGAGGAGATGAAGTGTGGCTTCACCTAAATGTGGCTGAACTAGCAAAGAGGAAGAAGCGTACCTGGGTAAGGTCAAGTACAATTTACCTTCTTTCCAGAATAAATGCTCTCCCAGGACAAAGCTGTACATGGGAGCCCCCCAGGGCTCACGCTGTCCCTGACGCAGGCTACTGCCGGCACAATGCCAGATGCTCATCTGACCCGCTGCGTTTAGTATGCAGCGAAGGTTTAAGAATACACAAATTGCTCTCCATTAAAAACCTATCTTAAAATGATTAGTGATGGAAATTGGGAAAAATCGGTTCTCTTTAATTAGATGAGATCTTCAGCTAAAGAATATAGAATTAGTTGGTCTAGGAAAAGGCTGATTACATCAAATTAAGCTTTCTAAGACAGACTACTATTCTGTGCAACAGGCCAATATATAATACCACTTCCCTAGCGACACTCCTCTGCTAAATCCAGCAGAACTCATCGAACCAAGGCTCTCTTGAAAATTAAGCATTTCTTTCTTTCAAGATTCAATAAAAAAGGAATAATTAAAAATACACTATCCAGTGCTTAAGGATCGATGACGCCATTCTGTACAATCAACCTTATGACAGTAGCAACAGGATAGAAAGTTCCCCACTGCTAGTATGTAAGAGAGGACGAAGAGTACCATGCCACCACACAATCTGGCAGCTCACAAGACCCTTGCAGATCCAGATTACCAGAAAACAAGGGAACGAAACCATCGTGTCTCCAAAAGAGACCAAGTTTAAACTGGAGAGCAGAGGATAGATCATGCAGGGCCTTTCCATTAGGTCTGTCTGTGTCTCTGGGCCTAGTTTGAATGTGAGCATAAATGACAAGAACATTCTGGATTAAAGTAAGCATTTTAGGTTTAACAAAATACTATTACAGTATTCCAAATAAATTCCAAAATTTGTACTCTTCCTTTTCCTAACAGAGTGATAAGAGACTGTTTATTGAATCTGCTACCAAGAAAGTTCATAACTTCTATTTTCCTTAGTATTACAACCATATTCTTTTTACAACTATTTTTATTTGCTCAATGTAAAAGTCAGTGTAATAGGAAAAACAATTTTGTTTTCCCATTTGGTCTAAGAAAAGGTGAACATTATTTGAAGAAAATATCCCAGGATCAGCAGTTGTGCAAAAAAAAAAAAAAAAAAAGAAACACTGCTTGAAGGGAATTTTGATGATTGAATTCTGATTTCTGCAAAAAGGAGGATGTGGGAGAGTAGAATGAAGTCAAAACTTTTTACTGAATCAAGGCACAACTTTTATGACTACTTCTATTACAAACTTGGTTGAAGAGCCAAAAGCTTTTGTTTAAAGATTGATATTTATTTACTTATTTTTCCATTTAAAAACACGTGAAATGAACATTTAAGTGAATGAAGTGAAATCTGGTCTTGTAAATCTTAGCATTTTTTTCTTAACTATTTGTTGCTTCCCATTATCTATTTACATTTGAATACTTCAAAAATGTGCAAATTTCTCTACTTATTTGTTTTTAAATTTCAGTTTTTCTCCTGAAATATTTATACATTTTCATGATGGTAATTATTGGGAAGTATGGAAAGAAGCTGAAAAACTGAAACACTAAGGAGCACTGCTCTACTTATATTAAAAAAAAACAAAGTAAGAATGGCTGGTAAGTCATTCACAACTGTTTTAATATGAAGTAAAGTTGCTGATATTAGGCAGTACCCCAAACTAAGTGACAGTCAAAAGAACAGTAACCTTGATATCACCCTTCATGCAAGCTCATTCTATTTGTTTTTATTCTGAATTCAATAAAATTCATAAAAACCAAGCTTGTAAGCAAAGAACTCAGTGATTATGAAAGTGTAATCAATCAGAATTTAAATATCTACTGAATCTGAAGTGACAACGATAGAAAGAATAAGTAGATTCTGAAAATACAAATGGTAATTGGAGTTCTTGAATTGTGTCCTTTTTTTAAACATAGGGAAAACACCGGATATAACCCATGGCGGGGAGCAGTGACAGGGGTTAACATCAAGCATACACTTTTCATTAATTCCTTAGTGCTGGATCAAATGTACATAACACATCAATGGAATATATGGTTATGACAAACTATTGTAGTAATTTTAAAATTTTAAATGAAAGCCAGGATTAGCTTTCACAATTAACACTGCTCATAGAAACTGATGCAAATGTTACATTACAGAATAGCAACTCAGAGATTTTTCTCAGTATTACAACAGAAATTTGGCTAAAAAAATCCAGCGATTTTAAGTGATTGACTATCACTTGAAATTCGCACAGAAGTTAAAAAAAAAATTGGCAATTGCATGGCATTATATAATGCTTCTCACCCTTAAATCTGAAAGCATGCAACACAAAAAAAATATAAAAAGCTTATTGAAATTCAGCTAACTTCCAGCTTTTTCGCATGATCACGCTATTATCTATATACTTTCTGAATTATTTGCTATAGCAGATTTGAATGAAATTATTCATTTTTATAGATTGAATCTAATGTTGCAGACATGAAACAGGAGTGTAGGGATCTCAAAAGAGAGAGAGAGAAAGGGTGGGGGGAAGAGGAAAAAAGTACTGGAGATTATTTTAAAAGAGCCTATATATGACCTCCACTTAATAAAAAACATTTCAGCTTTCTACTGGGGTAGTAATTACTCACAGTAGCTATTTACTGACTCTACCAACAATAGGGACACTCCTCATGTCGCTTAGACCTCACAAAACCCACAATTCTGTTACTGAACCGCAGCAACCTCACTACAAGAGATTCTACAGAAACCCAAGATTTGTTTTCAGGGTAACACAGACTGACCTGACCAAGCAAATCAATGTTTTCCCTAAACACTATATAACTGGCCCCTGAAACTTGTAACATTTAGACATAAACTGACTCCCACTTTAGGGACTAGATAATTCAGCAGGGAAATTTTTCAGTCTAGCAAGAGTATAAGGAAATTTGAGTGATCTCTACCTTCTGAGTAAGATAGCCATGTCACTTAAGTCCTTCCTTTATGCAAAAGATTATTATCTGCATTTCAAAAGCTCCTTCAGACAATTCAATAGTTCTGAGTGACTATACTTGAATGGATAAGAAGCTACTTTTCACTCAAAAAGAAGAAAAATGTGGTAGCTCATCACACTATTTTCCCATCTTATTTTTCAATGGTGTCTTATAAAACAGCTTTCTAAATTAAGCAAGTCACTGCTATACTTCAAGCTATTCATTTGCAAATGTTTTTATTTATTATAATATGGTACATATTTACATTTGTTTTTAGGTAGTACAGTTTGTACACAATAATTATGTATAACTAGTACTAGGAGTTTTGTCATTTATAATTAATATCTCTGACAAATCCATTAACAACCATTCTAGTGCTGCATGTAATCAGCTTGAATCGCTCCTGGAAAAAAAAGAAAAAGTTAAATATAACGGTTAAAATTTACCAAGTAGCATAGAACCTCTTCTTTCACCACACTTACAATTTTTACCTCTTTTGAATCCTCTTGCTAGTCTGAAAATTAATAGGGAAACTAAAGCAGAGCTCAACTCTTCCACCACAACCTCACATGGAGAGTAAGCGAGCAGACACACTTCTCATCTAGGATAGGATTCAGCTCCAGGCTTGGACTCTTAAATTTCAGTGTATACATTTAAACTAGAAATCTAAACTCTCCTTAAACACTATACAGTGGAGCCCTGGAGAGGCTAGAAGACAGTTAGGGAAGCTATTTAGCTGCGCTGCCAGCAAGTATAATGAGAATATATCTACAGCAAGTACTGAGATGCAATAAGAAAAGATCTCTAAAGCAAAACAGTTGATGCTGAGGACCTGACATCAGAGCAGTATTTATTTCAAGGCTTTTATTTCAGGTTAGCTCTAGTCTCAGTCAGTAGATTAAGTGCTCTGTGTTTATAACAATGTCAACTTCTAAACTACAGGCTAAAGTTTTCTATACTGTATTTCTATTTTAACAATTTCAAACAAGACAGTTCCATTGCTTCTCAAAAGGAGGCTAGGGAAAAAATACACTGCTTTAGCCAAGATAAGAAAAATGGTGACTTTCTCTCTGAAGATCCCTAGCATCATTTAGAAGTAAGGTCTGAATGTTAGCAACGCCAGGCCTGTGAAAATTGGCCCAAGTCTAGCCAAGTTACGAACCTTTGAAAATTAAGTTTGAAGCACTCCATGACAAAGGCACTACCGGAGGACAAATCAGATTATAAGCATCCTGACTCATCTTCAGGTTGTGACGCTCTCTGTCTTGAATATGCAGGGAGTCTATGCTCCTCAGA